TGAGAATCACCTTTGGCGATAAATCCATATTTTAAGTAGGACTCGTGATATTGTCTTTTAAATGCAGCTTTCATTTTCTTGGAAGTTGTAGCCTCTTCTTCTTTCTCCTCATTGGGCCTTTTCCCCTTTCCAAAGAAGCTGTCCAAACAGGTCTGTTTCTTACTCATTTTTGCTAGCTTTAGGTGTTTTGACTAGATTAACATATCACGTGACCTGAATTGACCTGTGTCAAGGGGCACAGATTAACCAACTCATGTAATACCCTAATTTTTCAAAATAAAACATCACTCAGACAAATTACATATATATATATATATATATATATATATATATATATATATATATATATATATATATATAAATTTTTCTGTGCGGCCCGGTACCAAATGACCCAAGGACCGGTACCGATCCGCGGGCCCGGTGGTTGGGGACCACTGTTCTAGCGGACTTATAACTTTCTCTACATGTCAGAAACACCCATTCAAGGAGGGACATGTACTGGATCTCCAAAAGTCTAAACATTGCTGATGCTGTTCTAGGTGATGTTGCTTTTTTCTGATAGTTTCTGTGTGCTGTTAAAAGTGATTTTGAATGAAATCATTGTTATAATCAGAGTTGAGAGTGCATTAAGTGGATTCATAACCACAAAACAGGTTTAAATCAGAGACAAACAGATTTTCACTGTTTTCTGAAAGATTTTAGACACCTATTGAGCAGTCTTTGTCATTTATACGGTGTCCCACTACAACGATCTCGATTGGTTTTTAAGCACCTGGAGGTCCATCCTCCTAAGCACATTCTCAGATGCAAATCAGTGGACTACCTCTCATTCTACTGGGTTGTTGGAGTCTGTATTTTGCATTGGATTTGTTTTCCGTCATTTGAATAGTCATGATTGAGGCTGTGTGCACAAGCACCACACTTGAACACTTGAATCATGATGAACGAATGGTATCAGCTGACATTTTATATGTCTTTGTAAACAGGTCTGGGCCCTTTTCCAAGATCTCACACTAATAAACTACATCTCATGCGGCATTGCATTTGTATGACAAATATATTTGTGTAGAAGATTAAATAAAATGAACACTTATCATTAATAATATTAAATGGGGGTAAAAAATAAATTTGTCACAAAACAGACATTGCAGCTTATATTTAAACATGTCATATCGTCTAGCTTGTGGAAAAGTCTAAAGAGTGCATTCACCCTGCTCCTATAACTTTGATTCCAGCCATCACTCAACCTTTTGCACACCTAATAATCAATTGTTTGTGCCAATAACACTGGCACTACTTTTAAAAGTGAAGAAGTCTGCTCATAAGAATGTGGGGATTTCATTACAGTTTTTTTATCAGATCTTCATATAGATATACACAACACAGTTAATGCAGTTTTCAAAAGAATAAGTACAGACTGCAAACACTGGTAGGCCAACCTTTCTTTAAAACCCCTCTATTTGACATAGATGCAACTGTCCACATGGGATCACATGGAAGGTTTGGCCACTGGGGTGGCCAGTGACAGACTAAGAGTAGCAATGGTCCCCCCTGCCCCCCCTTCTAGCTCCGCCCCTGATCATTTCTTAATCTAGTAACAATGTTTCATTTCACTTTTTTTGGATAAAAAAACCCATAAAAATATCACCATTGTGCCATTATACTAAAACAAAAGTTTGTAAGCTGGGAAAACATCATCAAGTATGCAAACCTCTCTGTTTTACAAAATAATCCATGGTCTGTCATCTCTTCCACTGTGAAAATCAGTAACACGCTGACAGTAACACAAGGGCCGGCTAGAGGAGACTATGTTGTTCCTCTGCATAAAAGTGCTTTTAGTCAAAGAGCCTTTGCAGTTACAGCATTACAGGAATGGAACTCTGTCCCTCACAACATCAGAGAGATTTACAACATAGATTTTTTCAAAAAGCATCTAAAAAATTAGCTCTTAACACATCAGTCATGTCAGCTTTAGTTGAATGTCTATCATTAACAAGCCATGCTGCCACTTGTGTATCTGCTGTGTGTATGTACATATGTGTATGTGTATGTATATGTATGTGTATGCATGTATGTGTGTATGTATGTAGGTATGTATGTATTTATGTATATATATATATACATAGTTTAAATGTTTTATGTTTTATTTCATGAACCTAAAATATATAGTCCAGCGAACACTTTTTCTGTATTTTTAAATCAGTTTTGAGGAGTTATAACTGTTTTTATTTATTTCTTTTTATATGTGTAGTTTTCATTATAGAATGCTTACTGTTGTGGGTTTTTTTTAGGTAGACAATTTTAAGATCTGTTCAGGGTAAACAGATGAAAAATAGATCTTTAATAAGATCACTCCTATTAATAAAGAATCCCATAAAATCATTACTGGTAAGAGCAGGCAGGATGGACGGTTCAACAGAGATCAGTTCAGTTCAGTACCTTTTATTTGTCCCAGTATGGGCAATTTTGTGCTTTCACACACATGTTCACATTTCACAAATCACAGATAAAAAATAAAAGAAGCACAAGAGACACATAAATATGTAAAAAGATAAAAGTAAAATAAATATGTGCAAATGAGAGCATAGGCCTGAATGCATGCAACATATGGCTATCTGC